AAAAAATATGAGCATACGACAGCAGTGCTTATAAGGAGACATATACTGGTATAAACTCTGGTAACTGGAGGAATGTTGCCAAGTTCATGCATTACAACCTCCATCTTAAACATTCCGGGACTTCAGCCCCATGTCATACAGACAACTTTGTAAAATGTAGCAAATAATATTTAATTATTTTTTTAATTGAATAGAAACCAGGCTTAGACTAATGCGGTTGTTTTTGTAGCTTATAATATTTATATTGTCGCCGCGGGCTTCTGACCTACCTTTGATAGATTGCAATGACTAAAGATCTTATTGGCGCCCTTAGGGCGGTACGCTCCTTGAGTTATTTTTGTTAATTTTACACTTATTTCAAAGAATCTGTCTACTTTGATTCCTTTTTTTAGGCTCAGCCGGAGGACGAGAATGGAATTCCTGATACTACAATCAATATGGATAGTCAACAATACATGAATGATTTCTTCGCCCAGGTTTAAACTTCATGTTTTTGTGACGACCTCTTGTCCTCTAGGTCGAGGAAATAAGGAAGCTAATTGAGCGTGTACAGATCCTTGTCGAAGATGTTAAAACTAAGCACAGCGATATTTTGTCCTCTCCTAATCAGGATGAAAGTATTTTTGAATATCATTCATACTTTCTTAGAAACAAAGGCACAACTTGAAGAGCATATGGCTGAGATTAAAATGATTGCCCACAAAGTAAGGGCGAAATTAAAGCGTGAGTTATTAGGATATATTATTTTGGCCTAGAAATGGAAATGAACATAGATTATGATGAGACTTCTGACAAATCCTCTGCCGACCTTCGAATTCGGAAGACACAAGTAATTTTATTGTTGCCTATTTCTAATTTTAGTATTCAACCATATCTAGAAATTTCATCGAGGTCATGACGGATTACAACAAGGCACAGGTGGCCTTCCGTGATGCTTGCAAGCAAAGAATTAAAAGACAAATGGAGATAGGTGAGTTGGTTCTTTATAAATTTACTCTGCTTTGGGGTTATTTTATCATCCTAATATTTATTACTTATTAATTTTTTTTAAATAGCTGAAAGGAAGATTTCTAATGAAGAACTTGAGGATATGCTTGAAAGTGGGAATCCGGCGATTTTTACTCAAGAGGTGTGTAGTCTATCTTTTCGTTCTTCTCACAAATTGTCATTTCAAATCGCTTCTTCTAATGCTAAATAATTTTCCCTATAGATAATGACGGATACTCAACAAGCAAAACAATCCTTGGCGGATATTGAAGCCAGGCATCAGGATATAATGAAACTTGAAAAGAGCATTAAAGAGCTTCACGACATGTTTATGGATATGGCAATGCTTGTGGAAAGTCAGGTTTGTCTT